AAAATCACCCAAAATTGTAAACTGAGCTTTGGGATCTGCTTCAACAATGCCTTGCAGATAAAACATCAACCGGTGAAGGGTCATTACTATTTGGGGAACGGTTCACGGTGCAGAAGTAGCGATTGAAGGAAGAGAACTAAAATTTCAGTCACAGAGTCTGGAACTCGCGGTTGGTGAGATTTAAGTGGGAGAACCAGGTAGAAACATTTGAATAATAGATGATCAAGATAGGTGCAAATCAAAATATCAAATAACCGTGACACTGATTCTGGAACTAATCCCCACGCCTTAACTGTTGTCCGTTAAACCACTGCAATTATCAAAACTTTCTTGTATGTACGCCATATTGCTTTGCTTTGCAGCGACGGAGAAGATTAAAAAACATTTAACATCCCGTATTATTTTTCTTCTGTCTTTCCTCTAACGAATTAGATAGAAGGGACCCCATGAATAAAGAATCTTTATGAAAATTGTTGATACATATATTTCATGCATCTAACTCCAGACTGTGTGCCGAACAAATCATGGTACAATAGTCTTTATGAAAACGAAAGAAGTTCCATGATTTGCGTGTGGGCGGAATACTTCCAGGTTCCATTTCGCCTGTTCGCCGAGCTTGGCAATTTGTTCGAAAACGTTCCATCACCAGCCGAGGTGACATCATCAGTGCTTGTGCAGTGGCAGTGTTGTGTTTGACCCGTTCGTTTATATATGTAGCCTCCTCCACCGACTGTTTTCATACTTCGTTCTCACTGTGTTCGACCCGGTTCGCCGTTAAACCGCTGCTAAGGGGGTGAGAGTGAGAGGAGAGAGGGTTGTTCTTTCACCCTGATTGCGGCTTCGGTCCGTTCTCAGGTCATACCGTGACCTTTGTTGTTGCCTCATTTGATCCTTGAGTTGCATTGGTGTGTACGCGTGATCCAGCTTGATGTGCCTGTTTGTTGAGTTGTTTAAAGATATAATAATAATAATAATAATAATAATTTTCACTGAAGCGAAGTCAAACTGATGTCCTTCTTGATCTTTGCGCGGAGAAATCAGCGATAGTAGGTCATGTCTCTTGACTGGCGATTAGTGTTCACGGATCTTTGTTGACAGTTTTCTTCTGCCAGGTTTCCCAGACCAATACAGGTGAATTTTCTTGAGGAATCCACATCCGGAGCCTTTGACTAGCCATAGCCTGATCCGCAAGGGAACGGGTCGGTTTGCGCCCTTTGGACGTGGTCAAACGTCGAAGGTGCCCAATACATCGCGATGCCCAATCGAGCCGGTGACCACAACCGTCACGGCCGGGAAAGTGTGTGTGGTTCCTACGCCTCCTCTTGGTTGGTTTGGAATTATGGTTTTTGGCCAACTACCAGTTGTCCACCATCGGCTTTTCATACTCTCACTTTGGTGGGAAACCACCACGAGAAGGCAGAGAGTAGGGCTTCCTCAGCAGAGGCTATTTGAGACGCTTGGTCGTACGGGAGCATTTCGCGAGGTGCAAGAGAAGGGTAACCAGCCGCAACCTAGACATCCACCTCTGTACATACTGAGACTTTTACTGGCTATGCCTGTATTCTATTCGACCACGGATGTCTCTGAAGCATTGCTCGTGTCTGTTGGGAACATCGAGTGAGCAATGACGAGGTTCGTTGTCATGTGTTGGACACAGCCTCAGATATCACTCTAATCCCCAAAGGATAATGGAACCGCATACGGAGGCCAAAAATTATTCCATCTACCGAAAGAGCGAAAAATGCTTCAGGACTGACGGGTGAAATAAACGGCCACATTTCGTTCTGAGGTATCACCATAAAATGAACGTTATCTGACCGATCCACCCAACCTGGATCTTCTTGGTCTTGTTGGGATCCAGTAGCTCGGGTTATTTGATATTCCCGTGAACGATGTGACTTCAAATCCGCAAGCAGAACAGCATCAAACCCATCAGATCCTCGCATTTTCATCCGCAATCGAACGTCCGGACGGAGAGAGTCATGGGCGTATTCAAGCGGGCACTTCACATACTAAAAAGGGTGCAACCCAAAATTGTGGACAAACCTCTTAAAAGGGGAGGTGTCAGGAGGAGCCCTACCTTCTCCTGAGAATTCTCACGGTATGCATCAGAAATGAATTGGGACCAGCCGCCAACGTGTGAACGTCGGTGTTTTCTCGATGGTACTGGATACGTGGGCGTTAGAGTGAATTACACAGTACGATGACCTGATTTCTGGCAATTTCTCTATCGCCGCCCACGTAACTCCCATTCCGGACAAATGTGTATTTAGTGAGCAAGCCCTAAATGCAACACGTTTGCGATCCTTACTCCACCACGTTTTGCCTGGCGATGAAAATAAAGGCTCGCACTTTTTTCCAACTGTCTTTTACTGCAATCGTTGGGATGAGAACAGGTTCTTTGATAGCTTGGCAAGACACAAAAATCTGGTTTGCCCTTGCGGTCCACTCGCATCGGGTTCAACTTGCCGTTTTCTGTTTCTTTAATGTCACCGTCGTATCTAGATTCACTCTATTTTTTTTTATCTCGCTCACCCCCCGTGTATAGACTTGTCTGGATATGGTGGAGCCGGAGTGCTCTGATCCGGCAAAAAGCATGTTTCCACCCATTCAATGGGACGCTGGAATCTATTCAATGAATTGTCAGAAGAAGTTTGGTGTTCGACCGCGCCTTGGATGGGCCAATATTGCTTTTTGGGGCAAACGGATCAGCACAGTGTCCAATATCATTTTCAGGTATGTTTTGTTTACAAGTCTTTCATCTGCAAATTTACACCTTCGTTTGTTTTGATGCTTCTGGTTTACCATCAGTGAATCTTTGTCACTATTTTTGTCGATATTAAGGTTCATCGAGTGATTTAGAGCACAATTATTCCTTTCAGTGTTAAAATCCACTCATGATCTAAGAGCCTCAATTATCGGATAGTTCGACGGACTGCACTACGACTTAGTCCGGTTGCGCTGGTTGCAGCACTATAATCACATCTAATCTCTTTTGACCATGAACATAGCATTTCAGAACTAATTACGATGTCCTTTCGTAGCCACCGGGATGAACCTCAGCAGAATTGACTCCAACAGGTTGCATTTTTCATCGCATTCGTTAACGCGATCAACTTAGGCCAATCTTTCCCTCTGTTGTTTATGCGAAAAGAACTACTTAGTTCAAGTGTGCATGTTTTTGCGGTCTGATTGATAAAACACGATTTAACGAGGCTCGTCCAACCCTGACTCCCGCTTTAGTTTCATGTTCTACAACCATCAACCGTGCGCTTTCGTGCACCGGTTTTGGTTTCTCATTTAGATAAAAGAGCAGGAAGTAGATTTGAATGTTGAGTGCAGGGGTTCAAAAGAATCCGTAACCGCATGGTTCGAGATTCTGAAGCTCATTACTGCAAACTGACTGCAGGGGGATCTTGCTGTCACTTCTTATTAGACCAGAATATTTAAATAGTATTTACGCACAGTTGGGCTGTTCTATGTGTATTGACCATAAAGATTCGCTTTCTTTTCCCGTCTCTGAAAGTTTGCACAATCCTCCTTACGTATTCTCACTTAAAGCTTGTACGCCACTTTTACCCGCTCATTCCCTACACAAGTATCTAGTCATTCTT